ATTTAAGTGCATTTAAGTGCGGCTACAGTTTCTCTACAGCACAAGTTCACTATCTTTGTTTTTCTCATCCTTCATACAACGCGGGCACAATAGTGAAGCTGTGTCTGTCTTTGATGCCCACTTCAAAGTTGAAGCTCCTGTAGTGCTTGTCTCCTAGACAATTTGCTTTAACATGCCATAGACAGAAGAAACTTTCACCTGAATTTGCAAAGTGATATAAATCAGATATTTTGTAAATTTTAACTTCAAAATGCGTGTGTGGTTTTAACTTCAATTCTGTAGTCATTGAGGGGCCACCAAGATGATTAGAAGGATGGACCACCTCTCATAGAGAAGAGGCTGAGAGAATTGGGTTTGTTCAGCCTGGAAAAAAGAAGGCTTGGGGTTACATAATTGCAGCCCTCCAGTACCTGAAGGGAACCTACAAGAAAGATGCAGAGGGACTTTTTACAAGGACATGTAGTGACTGAACAAGGAAGAATGGATTCAAACCAAAAGAGAGTAGATTTAGATTAGATATTAGGATGAAGTTCTTTGCTGTGAAGGTCATGAGGCACTGAAACAGGTTACCCAGAAAAGTAGGGGCTGCCCCATCCTTGGAAGTGGTCAAGGCCGAACTGGATGGGACTTTGGGCAGCCTGGTCTAGTGAGAGGTGTCCTTGCCCATGGCAGGGGTTTGGAACTAGATGATCTTTAAGATCCCTTCCAACCCAAACCATTCTATAATTCTGCTGATATTGTGACTTCTGAGAGCAACACTTGACACATCCATATCAAAGGAGGTAAATTCAAGCATGGCAATGACAATAAATGCATGTGGCAGTCTTCTTGAGGTGCTGCAGAACACCTCAGACTATTACAACATTGTCAGTTGTAGGATATATTTTAAGAACTGGTTAATGCATGCATTTTGTTCACAGCACAGGTTATAATTAATCTCTGGCATTTCATAAAAACCATGTATGGTATATTTACACTGTGAGACAGACTGCCTGTCCTGTGGTCCAGCTTGACAACACCTGGTTAGTTTTAAGGATTCTTTTCTCAGTGTCTTAGCCCAGAACAAGTGAGGTCTGTTGATGTACAGTGTGTTTTATTGCAAGGGGGGTTAATGATGAACAAGTCTGTGATTATATATGTATTCATGCATGGAGCACAACCCTAAGCTTTTGGCTAATATAGGCAGGTTTTTATTCTAAGAAATTTCATGTAATTAATTCTTAAGACTTGTCCATGTTCTGTATACTTTTTGGGTATCTAAATCCTTGGTTTTAAGTATTCATCCCTAGCATATACAGTTGAACAGAATGTCTCACACTGTTGGTAAGTTTTCTTCGTGTGTAAGCACAAAGCTATCCAGACAGATGGCAACAGCACAGTTAGAGGAAAAGGAGGAATTTCTATGTTTCCACACGTGCAGTATAACTTCTGGCTATTTCCATATGAATATTAAAAAAAAAAAGTTTTATGAACAAAACTTTGATGAAAACTGAGAAGCCAGAGTGTTGGCTTTGGGCGCCTTTACAGTCTGATTGCTTGTACGGAGTGAAATGTGAAAGTAATCAGGATGCAGATAAATCTAGTGAAACTGTGTGTATATATTGGTTGGGGAAGATGTTGGGGAGACTTGACTGTAGTTACTGGAAAGATCTATTGAGCTATATTGTCTGTCAGGTTTTATTTTGCACAGGAGAAGGTTTATTGCACAGTTGTTGACACATGGAGCATCATGTGCATTTGATTATAAGTGAAGCATCTCCTGCTTTCTTCTGATCATTTTCTTCTGAAGACATGCATCATCTCTCCCAGACAAATTATAGAAAAATCTAAGAAAATAATGTACAAAATCTTTTTCATAAACCAGGAAGGGTTTCTGCAAGAAGACAGAAAGCCTAGCTCATGTTCATAAGTAAGATTGAAAAGTTAAGTCTCCTGTAAAAACATCTAGTGTCACAACAGTAACCATATTTTTCAAGTGGAAGTCTGTTTGCTCCCCAGCGATGAAAGCTTTCTGTTAATACTCTGTCTTCTATATATCAACATTTCTCACCTATCCTCTCCTAATATGACCAGATATTATCCCAGAGACTTAGAGCTACTATTATTTGGAGAAAATTTGTACACATGGCAGAATTGGATTGGAACTGAGATTGCATTATAAGATCTGCAGTTACAGCTGCTGTACCAGGAGTGTGTTTGTGGGCAAGGCTCATCATTAAATGCAGTCAAACTGCCTGAGTTTCCATGTTTTCCTTCACTGTCTCTATACTACCTAGGTTGTGTGTGCTTGCGTGTGGCTGTAACTGGAGCCTAGGACTTCCAATAGTAAAATTGATTCTACTCAGGTCCTTGTCCAGCATATCTTAATTAAAAAAAAGGAATGAAGTTGTGTTTCAAGTTTCTTACAGTTTGTGCTGTTCACTAAAACTTTCTATTTCTTATGGGCTGGTTTTACCTATATGTGAATATAAAGGATATAATTTTTCACAAGTTATTAAGTCAAATTTACTCTATCAGTAATTTCAGAGTTTGGGGAGTTTTGTGATTATAGATGGTATTGAGGATAGCCAGTGGTCCCAAACTGATGCTGGTAATAGCAGGCACAACAGTAGAACGGCTGCTATAGTGCCCTGGCTTTTCTTCAACTTTAGACAAAACCAAACTAAGAGCAATTCAGTTTTTCAGTTGTAAATAACTGCTTGCTTCCTGATACGTGTTTTGTAGATAGGGGATGAAATGTGAGTGCCTGTCTGCTGTATAATCAATAGAATTAAAATCCCCAGCCACTTATTTCCTGTGAAGTGATTAAAATCCACTTACTACATAACATAGTTTGTGCTGGCCATACCACTCCTTTGGAGCAATATGTCAAAGTAATGATTAGACAGTTTATGAAGTACTTAAATATAAATGGTCAACATAAATCTTCATAGAGTGTATTTTAATAGTTTTATTCCATTCAGGGAACAAACATAGTCGAGCTTTGGCTGGCCTCCTCACAATTTCCTCCAAACTTACATACTGTTATAGCTCTTTCAGCTTTCAGCGGGCAGCTTTACTTAATACTAAGAGACATTAAAACGATGCAGTAGGACATGGTTCTTGCCTGATTGGTGAAGTATAAGTGGCACAAAAGATTTGGTGTTGTAAGTAGTGACAACCCCCATTTCTGCGTATATGGGAGTCCCTACAGAGGAACAAAAGCTTTGCTCTTTGCTCAGCCATCTCTGATAAACCTCCATGTACATGGGATATGTAATTTTTGAAATCTTACTTCTATTGATAGTTACAGTCTAGTATTAAAGTCAAAATTCAGTCCTTGACATTTCTTTCTCAGTCTTTGTTTTATTTTCATACAAAATTTAATAATCAATTTGAAGCCAACAACTTCTTCTAAGCCAAGTTTTCCCTGGCAGAAGCATAGCTACTGTAGTTTGAAGACAGGATTGTTGATACCTTGATAGCGACATCATCTCTAAATCCTACCCCATTTTGAAGAGTTGATAACTTTTATTAAGTCAACAGGTAGAACTGGAAAAAAGTACAAGCACACAAGCTTGAAAAATCTAGTTTTGGAGTTTCAAAGCTTGCTGGATTTTCGTGTACTTACTACTTCCCCCATAGATACGTTATCTTGCAAAAATCAGTTGTTTTGGTTTAGGTGGCAGTAGATTTCACCTTATTTATTTTTCCTGTGATTACATATGATTTTATTAGATAGTCTAACCAATATTTGAAGGAAGTGATTTGGAAGTGATTAAGACACTGGACTGAAAGCCAGCTTGGGGTTTGGGGTATCTGGTGTGATTCAGAGCTTGGGTGTTATTAACATAGCCGATGCATTTTGTGTTGTTACATTCTTCTGGCTAAAGTGGAAACAAGAATATTTTCCCATTTTTTTCCATTTTTAAAACAGAAGGTAATGCAAAACAAGATATAACATCTTTTTAGACATTTGTGAGTACTTTGGTCAGCAGCATATTCCTGGTTTGTATTTCTTATTGTCCTGTTCTCTGAAAAAAACCCAAGGAAGTCTTGATACAATTATGCTCCTTCTTCCTTGGCTAGGCTTATTTTTTGGTGAAAGTTGTAAGATCAGAATACTGCCTCTTCAGACTTGAAGATAATTTAGAAACATCTTAAGCAAGTGCTGATGATTCCCAGTCAACTTCTGAAGACAACATACCGTAGAATTTTTAAAAGATGTTGGAAATAATAAAAAATAATAAATTGAAGAGACTATTAATTACAGAATAAACAAATTACTGAATAATCTCACCCCTTTTTGGTATTTTGTGTCGACATAACATTAACACCTCATTTATTTTTTGTTCTGTCCTCTGATTTTCATGTAGACATATCTTCATACAGAAAAAACAGTGTTTTATGTGTCACATCAAGTCTGCAGTGCTTAAGAATATTAGCAGCATGGCAGGCGAAGCCCAATGTTCTACAAAATCCTCTCAGAAAATGCCCATGAATATCTACTGTGATCTATTGATTGTGATTTGTTCTGGTACTGGCAAAACAGATATTTAAACTGATACACAAAACAATGCTTATTTTAAACTCACTGTGCAAAGCATCAATTCCTAAAAATCCACATAAAGCTCTAAGTTTTCAGAATATATTACTTGCCAATAAAGCTGGCTGACTTGGGAAAGAACTTACGCATTCACTGAATTTCACCAGGACCATCTCATGAGTAAATTTCTTGTTTAGCAGTTGCTAAACCTAAGCAGCCACTGGCCTGTTAGTCCTAGAGAGAAGCCTCCTGGGTTCAAATAAACCATGAATACTTTTACTGTTTTTCACACTAGATGAGAGGATACCTTTGTTCTCCAGTCTTGTATCCCATGAATTAGGCTCAGAGCTAAGTAGAAGTATTTATTTTAAAGGAAAGTAAAATTTTCTTTTTTAATCCATTTATTTACAAAGATTTATTAAGTTTTTGGAAAATTACCTGTTGGTCTAAAAGAGTTCTCTTGTTTGCTTTGTAGTTCAATTTTGTTGGGAAATTGCTTGGACCAAGAGGAAACTCTTTAAAGAGGTTACAAGAAGAAACAGGTGCAAAAATGTCCATCCTGGGAAAAGGATCCATGAGGGATAAAGCTAAGGTACTGTGTCTGGATTCTGGTTGCAATTAGTGTTGAAACATGTGTTGCTTTAGGTTTTACACTTAGATTGACTGTCTACTTAGTAATGACTCAATTAAAAGGCCTGTAATAGACTCCGACTCCAAGGCTAGTTTGTTTTTTACTAAGTTACGTCAATTGCTTAAATATAATTTTTCTCTTACTATGCCAACCTTGCTTAGATCTCCACAGTTGGTATGTTACCATTGTTATTTAAATAATTCACCTAAAAAAGAAACCAGCTTGAAGTTCACTTGTTCTGAGAGAAGTCTGTTTCTCCTGAGAAAGTACAGCTTGTATACATTACTGCTGTAATATTGGTATACATAAATAGGTTTTCTCTTTTTTCCTGTTTCTTTAGAGATGGGATTTTTTTAAAATATTGGCTATTTATCGAGGGCATAGTTCTAAAATAAGATTAAAAGTGGATGTTTTGCTTAAATGTGTATAAAAATACACTATAGATAAAAGAAAAAAACAGTTCTGGAATCACAGCCTGGTTAATGCGCCTGAGTAATAATTTACAGGTAAGTGTTGTTGCCCTTCAGCCACCTTCCCCTACTTTATATTCTGAGCATGATGTTCTGTGGTATGGAATACCCCTTTGGCCAGTTTGCATCCTGGCTGTGCTCCCTCCCGGCTTCTTGTGCAGCTCCTCGCTGGCAAAGCACAGGAATGCAATATTGAAAAAAAATCCACAAAACAGACAAATTAGGCACACGGAACGTATTTCATTTTTTCAGAGTTTTCTTTGTGACATTGACCACAGCGACAATTCAGTTACAATTATAGGATAATAAATCTTGAATACACTACCAATTTTTTCCAGGTATTGACAGGTAAAAAATTTTAATTACTTTGGGCTAACTTGTGGAGTCATAAAAAACGTTTCCCTGGATAAGCGAATGCATGTGCTGCTAAGCAGCAGTAATTTACATCAGTACTACATCTGCCAGCTCTATTCTCAGCCACCCACTCAGATTATTATTCCCAAGAGCAGCAATTGTCCAAACAAAGGAGTGTAAAGATGTTTAAACACACATTAATAGATAGACTAAGTCTTCTGATTTTGAGATCGGTCACTATTCTGATCATATAATTTGAATTTCATCTCATGATAATGCAGAGTTCCAGCGTGACTGTTGTTACATTCACTCATGAGTATGTCATCAAAAACAAAATTTAGGGTATATTTTTTTCCTCTTCATAGAGTATTTATTCCTTAAGAATAATCTGAAGTTGAGTATGAACTTCATGGAAATTCATTCATATGAGAGTTGTGTAAAAAATTAAGTTCTAGGGCAAAATGGCATTAAATATAGCAGTCATGAAGGCAACTTTTATAGAGAAGGGCTTATAAGTGACTTATCTTAATCCAATTTAGACATTACTGACTCAAAAGAAAACAAAATTCCCGTGCAGTTACAATGAGAGATAGGAATTATCTGATCCATGTACATAATTGTTACCAGTTCTAAGCAAAAAAGTGTGAGAATCATCTTGGGATGGGTAATAATTACAATTAGCGTTTCAGAGAGGCTGTTCTAATTTGAGATACTGATAAAATGTAGAGAAAATAAGTTTGACTGTGAGCATAAATAATGGTGTGAATTGCTACATTGCTAAGCAAAATACAACTTGCTCTGGTTAAAATGGTTTTCTTGTCACAAAACAAGTCAACTAGTCTCATTTATGCAGTACTTTTTTACTGATTTAAATACAAATTACCGAAGTCTGGAGGCTTTTTGTGGTTATTTTGTACCATATGAGAAATCAGCTTATGTTTATTGGCTGATGAATCTTTGTTTTGGAGGAATATTCAAGAAAAATCTCTGTCATTTCTCTCTGTAAACTCGAATTTCCTTAAGACTGAACCATAAAAGTGCCCTCCAGTCCAGTGCAACTGGATGCTGAGCTGCATCAGAGCAGCAGAAACAGAATTTCTACTGGAAAGTATTAAATACATTTATGCCCTCAAGCTCTAGAAGCTAAAGTGTTCAAAAAGAACAGATCCACTGATACAAGGTTTTTCAGAGCCAAAATAACAATAGGGAAGTGCTTGGCTCAACAGTGAACCTCTCTGGCCATAATCAGTAATTTTTGTCATATGAAGGAGCAGTTTCCAGGTCTGGGAAGCTGCCTCTGTCAAGGGAGATATATCTGCTTTTCAGAATTTCCTTATCATTTTTTAAAGAAATCTGTGGGTAAATTTTAGAGACTAAATTATTTAGGCTGTTCCTTCCAGAGCCACAGGGAATGCTTGTTGAGTGACTTGAGATTTCTGAGTATCCACTGTGCTTACGGTGTGGGAACAGGACAGATTAATTTGAAAAGGCAATGCAACTTCCTTAAAATGTATATTATGAACAGCTCCGATTATGCAAAAAATGCCACAGAGCTAATGTATGTGTCACAGAAAGTTGTGTTAGAAATTTTTGAAGAGATGCTGAAGTATAACTGCATCAGTTTTGTGCAGTGTTATCTGGGGTATAAAGAAAACTTATGATTCTTCCAGAGTGGCTAATGTGAGTACTTAAATCTCTGTGCTGAAGTTAATGCCACTTGCTCAACAGAAATTTAGTGTTCCATAATAGGAGAAAGACCCTACAGTATTCTGACAGGAAAGACAAGTACTGTTATGAAATGTGAAAGTCCGTCCGCTAGGCATAGCAGATGCTGCTGCTGCCTTTTAAATACTTCTTACTCTTGATTTGGCATGCAAAAATGTAGCTAAAATTTGAAGTCTTTATTAGCTGAAGAACTACCCTGTATTTTTAAATCATAGAGAAGGTATTGTTCAACATATTTAGCATAGCCATGACCACTGAGAATTCTGCCCAGTGTGAGGGCACAGCCATTTTCTAATGTTTTTGGAACGGGTTGAGCTCTCGCTGTCTTGCTGGTTTATATGCTGCCACTAAAGGTTGTCTTCCCTGTAGTAATATAGTATTATAAATATGCAAATACATTTTTCAGAACAGGTAGTGATGAGATTAAACATAGTTATGTTGATTTGCTTAGCTCTTGGTTCTTTTCCATTTCTTTTTCTTTTTTTTGCAAACAGCATGGGAGGTGATTGTAAAGTTAAACAATCAAACTGAAGTGACAGGAGAAATCTCATTACAAGTGGAATGAATTGATTGCTTTCATACATAGATGCAGATTTTCTCCTTTTCAACCATGCAATGAATGTTTTTCACTGTGCCATAAAAAAAAATAAGATGCATGCAGTGTCTGGAATAGCTTTTTGTTACATGAATTATAGCAGCAAGAGCATGGATTCTCTTTTAAAGAATCAGAAAAATATGTAGCAATGTTTCTTAAACACTTATACTTCTTTAGCTAGTTACCTGCCAGTTTCATAGAATAGAACAGTCTTGGGGCTTGCACCATTTCTCCATACTCCCTAGTTTTAGATTATTTATCTAAGCGATATTTTTTTACATAGTCTGCATAATTTGATGTTTGTGTTTTTTGGAACTTCAGAACATCATATCTGAGAAAGCAAAATGGCAATGATTTCATGCAGATGGGAGTGAAGGGAAAATTTTTGTAGGAAAACCGAGAACTTTTAGGCCTAGAGATAAAATACCACACTGCTGTCATTAGAACTGCTTTTAAGAGCTACATGACTGAAGATTGCTGGAGCTTGGGGAGAGTATGTGGGAAGAGTCAAAAACATGCTCCTCCCCTTCCATGTTTCCCTAAGAACCCTCTAGTGACTGGACAGAAAATACTGCTCTAAGGGGCACTGGGACCTCACCCTTAATAACGTGTGAGAACAGATCAACAGCATTAACCATAGTCCAGCTGTGGTATTTGCCTGCAACAAGACATCCTCGCTTTTTGTTACAGTTTTCTCCAGAGGTGAGCTATCCAGAGTAGATGAGACAGTATATGGTGAGGCTTGCCTAGAATACCTCTGTGTATCATTATACCGCTAATTAATTGGTATGGATAGTGCTGGTAAAAGAGAGCAAATTAAGGCCAGAATAATAACTGAAATGGTGAATGAGGCATAGAATAAGCAAAAATGTGTTGAAAAAGGGAAGAGGACTGGCTTGAAAGAAAACCAAATGGTAGGAATAAATCCTTCACAGAAGAAAAACTCTTCCTTTTACAGAATTTTATCGTTTGTCTTTCCCATTGCATGTGTAACTTTATGGTGAGAACGTTCAAAGTAAAAGATGATAGAAATTTTCCAGTGAACACAAAATTATGTAGAAAAGAGGTATTTGGAGGCTTCAGAATTCTTGAACAAAGAAAGGTTGTGAGAGAAATGTTGAATGTGTGCAAGTGTTGTAGCTGAAAATTTTTAGGGTGAAATATTTGTGCTTTCTTTTTTTTTTTAACGAACAATTTTATTGAAAAATTAACCTAGGTAATTATGTTTGAGAGAGCAGAATAATGTAAGAACAATAGAATGTTTTGATTTTGATTTGAGAACATTGTGTTACCCAGAGAAAGATTTTTGATTACTTTCATTTTGTTAAAAAAATGAAAAATGGATTTTTAACCTGCTTATCTTTCCCTGAAAGCTCATTGTTCATCACCTGTGAAACACTTGCAAGACAGATAAGTTATTTAAACTGAAGAGGCTCATATTGTCCTTGCAGAAGTCGCACATAACCCCAAACATAGTTTTGAATCACATTGTGCATACGTAAAGCAGGATTTGGAAATTAATGTATGTCCTGATAACAAGGTTCTATATTAAACAAAAGAAAACTAAAACATCAATTACTACAGTAGCACATGTGGTGTCAACCACACATGAAGGAAAATGTAAGTCATAGTGCCTGCATTAAATCTTCTGAATACTGATGTATAGTTGCCATTCCAATTTAAAGCCTTTTTGCCTGGAGAAATTCTGTCAACACCAATCCTGTTTCGCACACTTTCTGTTTATTACCCATTTCTCTCATTGCTTGAACTTCCACTTACTTATGTCTTTTGTCCTGGCTATTGGAAGGTTGCTGTTA